GTGCACCAGCCCCGGGCTTCAGCTCGGAGCGCACAGCTCCACTGGCCTTTGCCTGCCCGCTTTGCGGGGCGCACTTCCCGTCCGCGGATATCCGAGAGAAGCACCGGCTATGGCACGCTGTCCGCGAGGAGCTGCTATTGCCCGCCTTGGTCGGGGCTCCTTCCGAAGCGGGGCCCGGAGGGGCATCTGACGGTAGCACTCAGCAGATTTTCTCATGCAAGTACTGTCCATCCACTTTTTTTAGCTCCCCGGGCTTGACCCGGCACATCAATAAGTGTCACCCCTCAGAAAGCCGGCAAGTGCTGCTGCTGCAGATGCCACTGCGGCCTGGCTGCTGAGGGACGGAGGCCTGGCGAGATTTTGAGAATGGCTTGGAGAAAACAATATGGGAACTCCTGTGGGGCTTTCTTCATCTTGCAATTTCCTTTCCTTCCCATGCTTTCCCTCTTAAAACTCTCCCAGTCATGATCCGCCCGGGGAGAAGGCAGCGAGATGTAAAACCCCTTCCCTAGAGCAGGTATGTATGTCATGAAATTCATGGGCAGAGCTAACAGCTTTAAGTCCTCATTTCCCCACTAAAATAGGACATTCCCTTCCTCAAAACGGTGGAGACCCCAGTAAATCCTGTATGGTTTGTAGTTCCTATGGAAAGTCGCAGTGAACTCGTCCAAGTCTCAGTGTGTACACAAGGTTCTACCTAAAGTGGTATTCAACAACGGATTGTTTTTTTCCCTCTTGTCACCACAGGCACTTACATCGTTTCTGTCTCAACAGGGTCAGAATTCCTGCCTTGTATGTTCTGTGAATCAAGCTATGTGACTGATGCCAAACTTGCAGGGAAGGAAGGCTTAGACCCTTGTAGACGGACAGGAATGTAAGAGGATGTTGCTGTCTGGTGTGATAATATCCCCGGGACTTTTCTTTCCTCAATTGAATGTATTAGTCTCTTCTTTTAAATTAGGTTTTGGAGGTGGGGAAGGTGCTGCTTAATGAGAAGGAGTTGGTGTGTCCTCTGAATACTTTACCTATTTCATGTGCTGCATCCAGGAGGAGCTACTTAAAAATTTTCTTTATATAACTTTTTTTTTTAAAAAAAATACTATACTCATTCCTAAAGTTTGAATGTTTTAGAAAGATTCCATTCAAATTATGTAACGATTATGCTGTAAATCTGCTGTATCGTAAACTGTTCAACTTAAGGAAGATGTTCATACCAGTAATCCACCATGAAACTGAATGTTAATTCGCTCAATATTCTATATTTTCTTTTCAGGAGCAATGTTTGAATTTTTTTGTAAATCATATTCAATGTATATTCTGTATCTATTCCCCCAATAGCCAGAGTCTGGGACACTGGCTGAGCGCTGTTTGACAATAGATTTGTAAGCTGCTTCTGCCAAATAAAAGCATGTGGACTGTGCCTGTTTTATTGTCTTAAGTGGCCGAACTCAGTGTATTTTCAAAGGCACATCTCTTACCTCCCCAACACCAGTGTTCAACTTTAGAGTCCAGAGACCTATTTTGAAAGAACACAAAGGGAGGAGATATTATATCTTACGAATGAACAGAATAGTGCTGAAATGTAATGGGAATGCCTCCGCTGAAGTCTAGCTGCAGACTGCAGATCCATGGAGGAGAGAATATGGACTGCTTTAAGTCTACTGAAGTTATAGAAATGGTGCTAATTAGTTTCGCTATTTCAAATCAGCATTTTCCATTTTGTTAGCTGTTATCAATCCAACAGAAATGTGTAAGGAGTTAAGTTTGATTTTCCTTTGAAAAATTCTTCCTGTTGGCTGTGGGAAACTCTCTACATTATTTTGAACATATTTGTACAGGATCTCTTTGCTCATTTGATTGTTTTATTTATGAGCATTAATTTTAAAAAAGCACACACGAACTCTAGAAATTTGCCTATAAAAATTTGGTAGAAAGTTTTATTCCTGAAAGTATATTAAAAAAAAAACTGCAAATTTAAAAAGTCAAATGTCATGAGATAGATATATTGATTTTGGTCAAGTTTCTGGTCAGACTTAGAAGTGGAAGACTTCTGTGCTCCAACTGACAGTGGGAGGACCTCTGAGAGGCATGCTGGGCTGTTTCTGAAAATGGCATTTATGTTTACTTTTTCATGATTAGCTAAGCTACATTAGGGGGTATGTTATGTCTCCCAATTACACAGCCCTGCTGCCTTTAAGTCTGGAAATATATTAAACAGAATACAATCATGAATGGAAATGCGAAGAATATTTTATTTTGTTTTATTAAATACCATGTCATCTTTTTGTCCCATTACAAATCTGTAGACACTACATGAATGATACATAATTTATATTTTGTGGTTTGTCAGGATGATGTATTTACACATGCAGTTGGTATCAATCATGCTACATTTCCTTAGGATGTTAAACAAAAGGGGGCAGCTTATTTACTATAGGAAATACTTCTGGAGGTGGGATGCATACCAACCTGACCTGCAGCAAGTTTAGTACTAAAATATTAGATTTAACTTAGACTCCTGGGTCATGTTCCCTTGCTTTTTAAACAATACACATAATTTGAGCAAAACATTTATATGAGAAAAGTCTCCCACCCTTCTTTCCACCACCTTCTTTTTGGTACTTCAGAAAGCACACAGACACACCAGGATAAACTGGTCAATAATAGAACCACAGCCTCAAAGCAGAAACAGTATTTAACAGTGATACCACCTAAAAAAGCAGAACAAAGTTGTTTGGGAGCTAAGCAGAAATCAAAGTTCAGTGGTGATTTTCCTAGTTATTCAATGTGTTGTGTCGTCATTTGCACTGCCAAGAAATGAGACACTGACTTGGGAAGAAAAAGTTAATGAATGTAATTTCCGCTGGAATCTGAGCTGCTGCATGGCCATTCCAGTGTTTCCGTCTGTAACACAAACAGTCTGCACACATCCTATGTAACGGACAGATGAGCAGCTTTTGCTCTAGCTTTACAAATGCTTTATTAATTTACATTGGTAGGGCTGGGCTGTGAGGACAGTGTGCTTGCCTAGCATGCTGGGGATGCTGGCTTCCATTCCTGGCACTTCAAAAAAAGGTTACATTTGTAAAAACTATGTATTTATTGAATTATAAAGTTGTAATGAGGCACAATAAATAACACAAGACTATCTGTCCAATTATATTTTGACTCAACATTAATCATGAATTTGAAGGTAGCACTACTTAGACATGATTATCTAGGAAGGTGAAGAGTATGAAATAAAACTCAATCCCCTCAAAATACGGCAGCATGGAGTGTGGAAAAAACTGAACTAAATAAATAGTCCAAATTTAAAACAGTAAGTTGCAAATTACTTTAAGTCCAGTGTTTTCTCAAATAAGTGTACAGGAAGAAACATGAACGTATGGCAAACATGAGGCCAGAAAGAGTTAACACTACGTTTGTGCCAGGGTGGCTGCTGCTGATCACTGCTGGGCTGTTTGTCTCCTTAGGATTTATTGGCTGAGCCAGAGGACCGACGCAGCTTCATGGACATTCGGCTTTTGCTAGTTCGAGGAGACATTGGAGAGGCCAGGTCAGCCCCATCTACCTGGGCTGCTGTGGGAGCATCACTGAGCAGACTTTCTGGGTAGGATCCTGTAGGAGAGAGTGAGCATGTTAGTATTCTCCAGTCTCTCAGGCTGCAACAACCTTTCTGTTGCTATCTGGAGCAGGATCCCAACCCTTCACAAGGACTTCAGAAGTTAAAAAAAAGCACTCCCAGACTTGCTAGTCCCAAAAGCTTATAATATATTTGAAACCCTGTGATCTGGTGGCTCATGTCATATTAAAGAAAGCACCAATCATCGTATCCAGAGCCAGCACCCTGAAAAATGCAATGGGAAATAAAACCTTTGGGTCTGAAAGCCCATGGATCCCAAGCACCACCAGCATGCAGGGCAGGGCATGGGAAGTGGGAAGGAAGACCAGCTGCACTGCACAGCCAGAAAGCATCTCCACACTACTTGCCAGGCTCCAAACAGGAAGGTCCTCAGGAGGCCATGCTAGGTGTGTAAGTACGTTTTAGAAGGAACAGCCAAATTCCCGAGAGAGGGGGAAAAGATAGGAATTTTCATTTGAAAGCCAGTCAGGAAAAGACAAACCAACCTCAGAAAATGTCTTTAGACATAATGCTTAGATATTTACAATTAGCAGTAGACACAGAAAAATAGGCAAAACAAATTCAATCAGGAAAATCCTTTGTCATTTACAGGGCAGTTCTTCCAGAGCCTCCCTGACACTTTGGGAATAATTCTGCTAGTGTTTCTATGTAATGAAACACCCCTGCTTAAATCGAAGGTATACATATTAGTAGTAGAAAAACAAAAATGCTCAGTAAGTAGAGATCCTATTGAGGTATCTTAAGAATGTATCCCCAAAGAATTCTTCAAAGTACTTTTCAAGGCCAAATGGTACAACTATACTTGGGGATATGCACTGCTAAGGGGAACTATGCTGCCACTGGAACCTGTGTACTGCCTGCTCAAACTAACTTCTCCCACATTTCCTTCTAACTGACATGAGGCTGCCCGATAAAATAAAGCAGAACTTTTTTTTTTCTTCAAATTTACTCTTCCCAATGATCTGAGCTGGCTCATAGTAGACACAGACTAGAATACTCAGAGAATGTGATCCACAGCCCACTCAGGGAAAAGGACAGCGAGGAGCCGAAGCTGAGCTTCTTGGTTCGACCCACGCAGGTGAAGAGAAGTCTTTCCTCCCTCCCAGTGCTGTTCCCCTGAGGGCTAGTGTCTCTAGCGGAGGGTTGGGAGGGACAGATCTAGCAGTGCATGCCTTTCGCTGTGAGGGAAGAGATGCAGTAGGGAGCAGAGTGGAGAACAAAAGGGAAGATAGACGACAGGCGTGAGGGAGACTGTGCAGGTGCCACAGGCGTTACCCGAGCAACGGAGAACAATCAGGTTTGTATTATGAACACGACTGGCATGCGATGAGTTAGGGTGGTGATGTCCCACCATGGCCAAAGCTCCACCACTTCAGATGCCGTACTTACCAACTAACAAAACAAGTGCAGGTAGGAAAAGAGAACAGGAAAAAAGTGTGTGAGAGAGCCAAGAAACATCTACTGTCTAATGTGTTCACTGCACTGATATTGTCTTACAATTCAGTCCTAAGATCTTTAGATAGACACTGTAATGAGGTAATAGCTACAACTGTTTAAATTTCATGTAATTAAAATGAAAAATTTAAATCCCTTGCTACACTAGCCATATTCAAGTGCTCAGGTTCATCTGGCTAGTTGCTACCATGGTGGACAGAGCAGACATGTGACATTCACATCACCACAGAAGTTTTACTGAGGAGAATTGCTTTCAAGCATCCCAGAAAAGAGCATTTCTTCTACTTAATCCTTAATCCTCAAACCCAGGACTAGAATGAAGAGTCTTTGAAGAAAACTAAAATGTTTCCATCAACTGTTTTTGCTGGTTGAAACTCCTGATCTCTTGAAGGCAGTTTAACAATGAGAATTCAACTGTTTTGTTCCCCCCACTACTTTTTAAGGACAGTGAAGAAAGCCCATTTTTGGGCACTGGGGTACATATCCCACTTCTCTATTTAGAAAATACTTTCTTCAAAACCAGCAGTTCTCCCATGTCTTCTATATTGCCTCACAATGCAGCCATAAGAACTCTAGATAGGTACTGTGTAATGAGGTAGCTACAGCCACATTAAAATGATTACATTTCATTTCATGCAATTAAAATCAACTGAGGCAGGGCTGGTGTAGGTCTCAAGCTTACACTTCTGCAAATGACATGTGGAATATACTGAGCACAGGTACTCTATAGCAGCTCACTAGAGGCAGTCCTCAGGTTTGGATTTGTAAAGGAAATAGTCACATTTGCCATTTCCTGTCACAACCTATTCTTCCTAATTATTGATTTACACCATCTGAGTCATGAAGCTATGACTGAATTACTTCTGTCATGACTGTGTCTTCCAGGGTGCCTCCTACATCTGTGCACTAACCCTATCAAAGTGCTCCACAGACTGTCCACATTCTGACTGTACAAGCTGCTGTACTGGATGCTGATTACAATAACCCACCATAGATGATACCTCAGATATGACTTTGGGAGCTTCCACAGACATTTTAAAAGGGAATATAAATGATTTTTAAATTTATTTTGCTTTGGTCTATACTGTCTGCTGACCACTTTAAACTTCCCAAAGCTGCTGGGTTATGGTGGCATACTCCTTTAATCCCAGCACTTGAGAGGCAGAGGCCAGCAGATCTCTTTGAGTTCGAGGCCAACCAGGTCTACAAAGTAAGTTCCAGGACAGCTATGGCTGTTATACAGAGAAACCCTGTCTTGAAAAACCAAAACCCAAACAACAACAACAACAACAACAAACCCCCCCAAACCAAACACACACACACACCAAAACAAAACCAACAAAAATTTCCTAAAGTTATTAGCTAATAAAGCCTTCAGAATATTGTAACTTTGAAAGCAACTTCAATTAGATGAACTAAGAGACAATGTGACTATGTTAGAAAGAATGGGGAGAATGGGGTTAGGTACTTCTGTACTCTTGCTTATAATAATAATAATAATAATAATAATAATAATAATAATAACTATGTATCTACACTTATTTGTTTATTCTCTCTCTGTCTCTCTCTCTGTCTCTCTGTCTCTGTCTCTGTCTCTGTCTCTCTCTCTCTCTCTCTGTGTGTGTGTGTGTGTGTGTGTGTGTGTGTGTGTATGAATGCCATAGTGCATGTGTGGAGGCAGAGGGCAGTCTGTGAGAGTCAGCTCTCTCCCTTTACCATATGGTTCCTGGGGAACAAACTCAGGGTGTCTGGCTTGGTGGTAATGGCTCACCTTACCTGCTGAGCCATCTCTTGCTTTATTAACTGTTTCATCTTGGGCAAGCTGACTGGAGTAAAATTCTTATTTGTGAAACGGAGACAGTAATGGTTACCTTGCCAAGTTGTGGAGATTAATGACTATGTAGCAAAGAGCCTGGTGTGTAACAGGTACAAAGATAGGAGACTTTGAATCAGAACAGATGAGGATTTGGAAGGAAGGGTAGAAACTAGAAATATTTCTGAATAGAATGATTACCTATGAAATATAATCATCCAAATGTTGAGAATATCTGTAACGTACATTTAGGTTTAATTTTCAGAAATCAAAGGGTCTATCCTTTTTTATGTTGATTGTGCTATAAAATACAACCTGAAAGGTCGATTATACCATAAACTTGCTGCTTTAATGTTGTCTACAGAGTCAATGATTAAGATTACATGGACACAGCCCCAAACTGTCATAAAGGAAGTAATACATTATTCAAAGCAAATTATACAGAAATACAGGCAAACAAGTGGTTTTATTTTAAGCACTGAAAAACTATTGCTGTAGACCTGAATAAACCAGATCAGGCTTCTTGTATTTTCTCTCCTTAAAAATGAGAAAACTGGTATAGTACAGATTGACTTGACTTCATGTGTGTAAATATCAGGATTACACTTTAAATCCAGATCAGTCTGATTTCAAAATATACTTCTTTCCTGGCATCCCTAAAACTCCTTTTAAAGGATTTTTCAATGGAAAAGTAGAGCACTTACAAACACACATTTCTAATAGTCTCTGAGTTGTAAATGTGATGGGTATTGCCCCCCTCTTCTTTCCCTTCTCCCACTCCCTCTCCCTGCCTCTCTTTCCCTGACCCTGACCCTGACCCTCTCCCTTTCTCATTGCTAGCAATAGTAAGGGGCTGAAAGACCTAATGGCAACTGTGATGTTGAGACCATGAGCTTGAAGGCAGACAGGGTCAGGGTAAAATGCTGACCTCAGCACTTGTGAGGTGGTCCTGGTATCATTTCTTTCTCCTTCTAAAATTGCATAAGTCTGCTGTGAAGATGTAATGAAAGGGTCCACATCCAGCAGTAGGTACAGTGTCTCACACTCCACTAGTCCTTTATCATTTTCATTACAAAAGTTTTACATCCATCTATATGAAAACTGAACCTAATAATTATTGCCACAAATTATGCTATTTAAGTTAGGTTTATCTACTGGTTAATAACATAAAAGTCAAATTTCCAAGTTTGAGATATTGAAAAGAACAATTTGCCTGTCTACAAGTTCAGACTAATCCATTGACACACAAATTTGAGCAGGAATCTGTTTTTTTTTTAAACTATCATATACATTTATAGATTATACTAATATATTGAAGGAAACTGATTTTCATATTGGCACTTATAACTAAAGTTTAGGTTTTCTTTATATAAGTATCTTCTGAAGGAGCTAAAACATTTTCTTTTAGATTATTTCAGTGTCTAAGAGGAAAGTTTGAAATAACATTTAAAGGACATTGAGCTTAAAGTATCTAAAACAGTGCCTAATTTTGATGACACATCCTCCTTAAAGATTTAGAAAGACCCAACAGTTACACATCCTAATCTATCTACACACAATAACACCTAGCATAGTAATGAATGACAAGGCTGATATGTTCTAAAGGCAATTATAAAATTATATATATATATATATATATATATATATGTACATATATTCATGTACATACATGTAGATAATCAAGTTATTAGTCAACTCCTTAATTGCTAATGAATAGCTAAGCTGCTGAAAACAACCCTAAAGAAGATAGTATTAGAGGCTTACATTAATTCCAGATATACTATACAACACCTATGGTCAATATAATAAAAATACATAGTACTAGAATTATGGATATATTTTTAGTGCTGAAATTGAGAAAGACAAACTAATTAGTATTTATTGTCCTCAGCAAAATAGGATTCTGTTCCTCCATAGCATTTTATAATTTTTTTATTACAAAAACCATTGTAACATTAGGGAGAAATGTGAATATTTCTGAACTATCACTGTAATCTGGCCAGGAAAAAGAACAATTTTATTTTCAAATTTACAGTTA